AATTGGTGTGAAAATTAGTCTGCGTTAAAGCATTTTGTACCTGAAAAAGCTTCTTATGACATCATAATTATTCTCAGGGAAGCCCTACCTTGAGTTGTCAAAAAGGACAGCTGTGGATTAAACGGTCTTCCCATTTTCTTCACTCAGCTTAACGTTTCTGTTTGCTCAGGCCTGCTTAGAGGGGCTGGTAGTAGTGAAGTAAAGTCACCAGATTTCAGCTCCTTTTGGTCAAAGAAAGAGGACTTCCATGTCCAGCTGCTCCATGCATAGACTCATAGGCAGAATGGAAGTGAGCAAAGGGTAGTTCAGAGTCAGGGGGCCAAGGGGAGAATGCTTTCCTTGCTGTCTCTACTCCAGGATGACTGATACATCTTAAGTAAGTGGAAGAGCCACTAAGATGCTCAGGGATAATTTAAACCATGAATGGGAAGTGGAAAAATGTACTTGTAAACTCCCCCTCTCTTCAATCCCTTTGACCTTTGGGGTCAGGGGAAGGCATTTACTGATACCCCACTGACTATTACCTGAAACCTGCCAGTCACCCAACGAGAAGAGCAGCTTCTGGGAAAGCTCAGTTCACTGTAGCAACTGTGACATATTTACCTTAGTAAAGTCACTGCTTGCTCCTCTCCAGTGCCTCTCTCTTGTGGAGATTATCCCTGGAACCCAAAGCTATCCTGTTTTCTAACTTAATAGAAATTAAGAACGACAGGTCGTGGGCCACAGGCTTGGTGATTATACCCGGTGCAGTCCTGGAGGCTGTGTGCCATATCCGTAGCACACAGGGCACAAATTGCACTATCTCCAGCATGGTCTTAGCCATTGGGCTTGGGTGGTAGTATCTCCCCTCTCCATGCACTCTCTGCATCCTTTCCCTGCCACCTCGTGGGGGTACCAGTCACCAAACCACACAGCTGCTTGCATATTGAGAATGGACATGTTTAATGTTACTTGGTTACGGCTGAACCCCTGATAATGGCAGGAATTTTGAAGGATGTGATTGAAATCCAGTTGTTTGTTTTATTGTTAGGGACCGGGGACGACTAGAACTCTGCTGCAGCCTGAGAGAAGCTTGCGTGCGTGTCCACGCAAACACATATCACGCGTGCACGTACGCGTATCCTCATGGCTGTGCGCAGGCTCGCAGGGAGAGCAAGGAATGGAAAGGAAGCATCTCTTTCTTGTTTTCCAACATTGCTTCAAAGGTGCCCAACCCCCGTAGTAGCAGGCAGTTCCCAAGTGGAGGGAGGGGGCAGAGGCTTCCACCAAGGCCATCAATAACCAGGTGTGAGCTACAGGTCTCCGTGTAATGTGAAGCTCTCCCGTATTTCATTTCTGCACCCAGGGGGCGGCTCTGCAGGATTGCTTACGGAGAGCTCTGTGTCTGGCACCTCTCTCCACAAGGCCCAGGCGCCCAGGGTCCCACCGACCTGCCCAGGAATGCATCACATTATTCTCTGGTGCTGTAATTTGGCTGCAGGAGCTAGGCTGACGGCCTCCCAGGGATGAGAAACATACTCTCCCTGGCGTCCTCCCTTGGGTTTCTGCCCTGTGACCACTGAGGGTGTTTAAAAACCTCAGGCTGAGGGGGAAAAAAATCCCGATTAACTCTCATATATTAAACTGTGTAGAAACCAGTGTCCTGAGTGGGTCTGAGAATTTGGCAGAAGACTTAGTGGTTGGTGTTCTTGCTAAGGGAGGTGAGAAAAAGGAGAAGAGATTACCCTCTACAACAGGGAGGAAAAGAAATGAGGCCGTAAGTGGTCATGAGTCAGACCTACAAGACTTTTTGCAAACAGACGTTCAGGGCCAGGCAGTGTTTAATTTTTTAAAAAATAATCTGAAGTCCCTGATTTCATTTTCCAGCATCATTCTAAGAAAGCATAAGGGCGAGCACTACTATTCAAGGCTAGCAATAATAGCAGTTGGCTCTTATCTGCAGGCCTAGATTAAGGCTGGCATTCTTACTTCTGCATGAGAAAAACTGGCCACGGGCTGTGCAGCTGAGGTACTTCAGTCACCTGCCTTCTCTAAAACAGTCTAAGATCTTTAAAGGATAGAGATTGTGTCTTTGACGTTAACTTTGTACCCAAATAGCACTTTCTGCAACGCATTCTACCTAAATGTTAAAAGTTAGAAGAAATGAGGACTGACAGGAAGGAGTGTCAGAGAGGGGCTAAGAGACCGCTGCTTGAGGCACAGAACTCTCCTGAGTAGAGGAGGGTCTGGAGAGGGGTTAGACGCTGTGAGTGGGTGGCAGCAGGACTAAATGGAGCCCTGACTGCACCAAATAAAGTTCTCCTTTTGCTGCTTGTTCCAAATAAATTAGTTTCTGTTTGTTTTATTGCAGAATAGACGCCAGTTGTCCAAAGCCAGTCACAATGCAGAGGCAAGCTAAGAAATACGAGGAAAAATTAATTGCTTGGCCATCATCCATCCCTTCTTGGGACCACAGTGCCTCTGTAGTGGGGCTCACATGGACCTCTTTTCTTTCGCTATCCACCCCACTATTCAAACTTTTCACTCTCTGGACAGCTTGCTTTTCTCTTAACCATTTATAGTAAATTACAAAACTTGGGTCTTTATGAACTAGAATTTGGAGCCCAGGGGAAGCCCAGAGCAGTACGAGATGCCAGAAGAGGCTCAACTTCCTTCATAGGGTAAGAACTGAAAAGGAATAGGTGACAGCACAGGCAGATTGAACTTGGGTTGAAGTCCCAGGAAGGCCTAGCTGTCATTTATGTGGTTACCTGGGCATTCTTGTGAGAGCAGGGGCTGACTGGGACCTGAGGCTCTACCCAAACACCCTGATGTAAATTCCTTCAGCTGTATTCTTGATTCAGACTGACTTTGACCCCCTTACCTTCCCACCATGCTAAGGCTTTCCTCCTCCTAATCCCAGCTCAAGATGTCAGAAGCTCTTCTCTTTCCCTCCCATTTCCCCCTCCCTAATCCCACCATTGGCTCATCAGTTATCCAGTTGACTCCACTCTGCAAGGAAGACATTCCCCTGGCCTGACTCACTCAGTCCCATTTCTCCACAGGAATCCCCTCACCGCAGACCACAAGAGCCCTGACTAGCTCATGTTTTGTGTTAATGGATGTGAAACCGGAGCAAACCCCTCACCAAAAGAAAAACCACCCCAAACTCTCCCACACAGGTCTCAGCAGGTTACACAAATATTAGTCCTATCATCCAAATAAATCTGCCCCCATGGCCCAGAGCTCTGGCTCCCCTATCCTCTGCTGCCTGTGCAGAGTGAAGCTGTTCTACAAACACGTGAGGACCCCAAGGGATGTTGGAGAGGAACTTGGAGGGGGGGTGGGCGCCTATGTTCAGAATTCCTTGTGTAGGCCCTTTAATCAACAGCCTGCTGTCAATACTTTGCAATTGTAAATGGAAGGTTTCAAGAGAAGGCATGATGGGCTAGACCAGTTAGGAACTTTGGTAAGAGTGTCTGTTGGCTGGAATTGGGGGGCACAATTAAAACTCAGTATCTGAGATAGGTTTATAACCTCATTTTACAGACGAGATGATAGAGGCTTGTAGAATTTGGGTATCTTGCTCAAAATATCAAAAACTGTAAATGGCACAACTGTGATTTCAACCCAGGTGTGTCATAACTGCAAATTTCTATACCACTCTGCTCTCTTAAATTATCAAAAGATAGCCATTGTCTAAGTCACATAAAAATAGGACATCACAGTTTTTGGGACTCCATATCCTAGCTTGTAGCTTACAAAGCCTGCTATCTCTGGAGACTCCACTACTGCAAGCTTAGTTAGGCAGCAGGTAGTAGCATAGAAGGAACTCCCCTGTTTAAGCCAAACATGGAGTGAACAGTAATAATCCCCAGAACTTAGAGAGCCACGAAATAAAAATTTGTTCAATAAATGGGGAAAGGCTGTTTTTTAAGTTGTTTACCACTTTGGCCCCAAAGCCCCAGCTCTCTTTTCCTCTGTAGCCACTGGCTTCCATGCCCAACTTCAAAGACTAGGATTCTCTCCTAAAAATTGCCAAAGCCAGAGATCCCTACCTGACTAGTATACCCTGATGCCTCATGTGGGGCCCTTGAGATCAGGCCTGCTACCCTTTCCTACCCTCCATGAGTCACATATCTTTTACTAAGTGTTTCCCAAACCTAGTTGACCTCCAGAAGAATGCATAGAAACTTTAAAAAAATAAAATAAAACCCCAAAGGCCTAGGCAGGCTTACTAAATTATTCTTTCTCAGGAGTGTTCCAGGGTATTCTAGTGATCTATTAGGCATAAGAACCACTACATGCCACTTGGTTTGAACAGGTAGCAAGTGAGCAAGGGGCAGTGCTATCTGATATAGGTTGAAAAGAAGAGGGAGGTTGGAAGAGAATGTATGTTTGTATAGTTATATAATTTTTTCCCCTACAAAATACAGCAGTTTATAAACCTATGAGCATGTGAATGGAACCTTGTCCACTACGGCTAACTCTTACCTAGGAATCCCAGGCTCTGGGATAATGGAAGAAGGTTGTAGCCTGAGAGTTTCTTTTGGGGTACCAGGCAGTCTGCTCAAACTGACCCAGGGAAGAGATGTGGTTCCATCTCTGTCCCATCTACCCTTAGTCAGGTAGGAACACAAAGAAGCTCTCTCCAGGTACCCTTCCTCTTGCACACACAAGAAATGTCAGGAAGCCAGTGCAAAGGAAAGGAAAAATGAGCCTTGACCATGTGCTTTAGTGCAACTTATATCACTCTGAAGACCCCCACCTCTTCCCCTCTCCCTTCTAACCTCCATAGGGGGCAGTCAGGGAGCTGTTCAGTTTCTTACATCCCCTGTCAACTCCTTCCCAGGGCTAAGGAACCAGTCAGGACACCAGAGTCCTTCTGGATTGCTTTCCAAGTCCTTAAATAGAAACTGTAGCAGCCCAGAACTGAGGGTAGAGGAAGGCGTGCATGCAAAGATCTTGTGCTTTTGAGCCAGGAGTTTTGAAGTAGAGGGATGAGTGAGGTATTTCTACATTCAGGTCTGGTCCAGCCACTCTGCCTTCTTGGGGGCCTTGCAAGTGTGGACGTCCACAGTGTTTCTGCACTCCTTGCACCGCACTGCACAGCACCAGTGGAATTTGCACTCACACTGGGTGACACGGGTGACTCGAGTTGTGTCGTACCCTCGGCCACAGCACATGATTTCGCAACCATCCGTCCCTTTGGATGTCTTGCTACAGACACGGCCCGCAGTGCCTAGGGAACCTGGGTTGGGGAAGAGAATGAGAACCAAGTTACCTCTTACTTCAGCTGCTCTGGGTTCCCTTACCCACATCCTCATGAGGAAACCATAAAGAATCCCTTTTCCTGAAAATATGCCCAACTGGCCAAAATGACCATCTCCTTACTTCCCTTTGCACCACTCTGGCTTCTTCCCACCATAAAGGCTCCCCAAAGACCATTGACTTCACCTACTATGCCATCCCTGCCAATACACATCTCTGTGTCTCCTTCAAAACCTAGCCTTAAAATGCTCCTAGCTGTTAAAGCTGGGTAAGGGCTCTCTGTGTTAGAAGTTTTCCATACTAAACAGTTAAAAAAAACAACTTAGCCTATAATTTATCTTTTCCAAGAAGTCATGCCACAACTCTGATCCAGCTACCATTTGTTAGTATTTTGGTCCTTAGTTTACATTTTAAGTTGTACCATACAGGGAAGTAATATAGGATGGCCATTAAAAGCATGGGCCTTATTGTCATATTGTTCAAGTTTCAGTTCCAGGCCTGCCGCATCTTAGCTATGTGATTTCACAAGGTAGTTAATCTCTCTAGGCTTTAATCTTCTCATATGAAAATAGGCATAATAATAGCGTGTAACTCAGTGGATTGTTACATCTATCATCTCTGTTCAGATGAGGAGGTGAACTGGTTAGTGTGACTGCCCAGAGGTATATCCCTGTGGAATTGCTACAGAATATCCCTTGCCTTACCCTTTACAGTAGGAACTCTTGAAGGGTAGGAATGATATTATCCCCCTGCACAGAGAGTGCTTAGGACTTCATTCTGACCAACTTTAGCAAGAGAGATCCTGCCGACAGATATAAAAACACAGAATTTGGGATGGGATGGGCCCTAGAAAGTATCTGTCTATTCTAACCCTTCTCCAGAGATGGGACAGGGACTGACCTGGAGGTTGAGGAAGGGGAACAGATTGACTGATTCTCTTGCAGTAGTCTGTATACCCTACTGCGATATGGAAAGAAAATGCTAGGGGCACCTGGATGGTTCAGTCGGTTAAGAGACTGACTTCAGCTCACGTCATGATCTCATGGTTAGTGGGTTCGAGCCCTGCATTGGGCTCTGTGCTGACAGCTCAGAGCCTGGGGCCTGCTTCAGATTCTGTGTCTCCCTCTTTCTCTGCCCTTCCCCCATTCACGTTCTGCCTCTCTCTCTCTCTCAAAAATAAACATTAAAAAAAAAAAAAAAGAAAATGCTAGATCTTAGAACTTCTACATTTGTTTTTTATCTCATAAATTTAAAATCCCTACTTTGTATGTTTTATAAAGTACATATCAATACAGTGGAACATAGGTATCTTTTTAAAGTAAATATCCATATGGGGCGCCTGGGTGGCGCAGTCGGTTAAGCGTCCGACTTCAGCCAGGTCACGATCTCGCGGTCCGTGAGTTCGAGCCCCGCGTCAGGCTCTGGGCTGATGGCTCAGAGCCTGGAGCCTGTTTCCGATTCTGTGTCTCCCTCTCTCTCTGCCCCTCCCCCGTTCATGCTCTGTCTCTCTCTGTCCCCAAAAAAATAAATAAACGTTGAAAAAAAAAATTTAAAGTAAATATCCATATATTAGAGGTACATGCTCAAATAATTTTTTAATGAAAGAGTACGCAATCCAAAATTGTTAGAGGCCACTCTTCCAGAGTGTGGGCTAACTAGTTATACTATCTGTGTTACTCTCCTCTAACTCCAAGGGCTGGATCTTAAGTCCTTTTGTGCACCAAAAGCCTCTTCTATACTCTAGAGCTGAGCTGTCCAGGTTATAGCCACCAGCCACACGTGGTCATTTAGTTATAAATTAACTAAAATTTAAAACTTAATTTCTCAGGCACAATACCTATATTTCAAATGCTCAGTAATCCCATGTGGCTAAGTGGCTATCTATTGGAAAACACAGATGTAGAACAGTTCTGTCATCACAGAGAGCTCCACCGGACAGGACTGCTTTGGTGGAAATTTGTGGCTCCATACTCGATTCTGAGATGACTTACACCCTTTGAATTCCAGGCCCCACTTTGGGTTTTATGAGACTTAATTTTATGCCTCCAAGAAAAACCAACACATCTGACTCACCCTTCCTTCTGACTCCAAAGATCCTTCCCCAAAGGTGCATTTTAGGTATAACAGCATAGGCTTATACCTCGGCTGCTATGGAATTATTTCAAGACATTCAGAGAGTAGTCCTCTGAATTATACCACGTGGGAAGAAAACATACCTAGTGGCAGGAAATCACTGAGAGAATCAGAAAGGGCTCTTTTAACTCCTTTTCTCCTAGCACCCTCCAAAGGGCACAAACTACTTTCTGTGTTACTTAGGTGGAGCCCCACCCTGTTTCTATGCCCAGATTTGCTCCGAGCCACTTGACTCTCCAGGAATGACAGTGATGGCTGAAAACAAACAGAACCAAAGACAGCTGTGGTTCCTGGCTCTATCTCACCCAAGTCCTGAGTGCTGAGTCTGCAGAGAAGAGCCTGCAAGCCCATGATAGTAACCAGAGGAAGAGCAGTTCTTTTGCACTAAAGGTTGTTCCTAGTCTAACCTGTCTGAACCTGAAATATGAGCCAAGCCAAGATGGTGACTTCTACTCTTTGGGGGCAATAACATATCACTTTCCAGCATCCCCAAGAATTCCACCACAAATATCTGGACCAGATTGAAAAACAATTTGCTGCTTTCTGCTAGTGGTTAGCCCTACTGAGATCTCTTTCCTTGCTTCCCCAACTCCACTGTAGAATCTTCAGTGGCAGCACACTGGATATAGTCTTTCAAGGCCACTCATGGTCTGATCCTCACCTTTCTTTCTACCTCTAGTCTCCTCATCCCAAACCTTCACTCAGTCAGATTCATCAAACCTCTCGGTTCCTAGAACAATCATGTACTTTCCCACCTACCACTCTGCTTATTGCCCTTCTCTTCTCTCTAGGTTGTCCAGGTGATCCCTACACCTCGAGAAATTGCTTAAGTTCCACATTTTCCAATAAGCTTTTCTTGGTTTCTCCAGCTTTGTGTCTTCTGCAATTGCATATGTCCACCGATTGATTACATCTTATTTCTTTAGCCAGATCATAAACAGTCAGAGACGTAGGGTTCCTCCACCTCATGCTTGTGTACAGCCCATACATTGCTTGGTATTGAAAACGGGTGACTCATTTAAACAATCCCTGAATAATACCTACTGTACCCCAGATGCTGGGGATATAAAAGAGTGAGAAATGACCTCTCCTCTGCTTGGGTAGCACTGGGACTGGTGGCTTGAGGCATTCATTATCAATCTTATTATAAGACGTTCACGTCGAGAGGAGACTGATGCCTTGCAAAGTACCACTTCCCTAACTCCTGTGGCTGAGCAGACTATGATTGACCAGGGGTGCCTGCACCAAGAACTGGGGCTCCTTGTCCTTACCTGCTTTCCTTACTCACCTGCAGCCTTGTCTAAGACACAGTAGTCTGGGGAGTTGTCAAAGTAGACAAGGTCAGTCCGGGTGGCACGGCGATAACCTTGGCGGGCTGCTGTGAAGTTGGCACCATCCTGGGTTGCTGTCACCTGCACAGCCCCATCGTAGCGCCGCCGCAGGTAATCACCTGTGCGGCGGAAGTCTGAGAGTGCACGCCAGCAGGTGCGCAGAGTACAGGAGCCACTAACGCCATGGCACTTACACTCGAGCTTCAGAAACCGCCTCACAGCCTGGGAGGTGAGGGAGAGGCAGCCGGTCAGGGCACTTTTCAGTCATCCTTAGGGCTACAAGCATGAGTGCTCTGACATCTGGCCTAGGCTGGACAGTGGGTTCTCTCCCCATCAGAACCCACCCATTCAAGAACCTCTTCCTCCATGAATCCTCCCTAGACCACCAGTGCTTTCTTCCCACGATAGTGTGTTCAAACACAGAGCCACAGGATCCTGTTCATGATTACAGTTTGCCATCACATGCCCTACATGTTCTTAGAGTTTAAGGTGCCATGCCTTCTGCTTCTCTAGCATGTCATTTCCCAGCACAGTACTAGGCACATTGGCAGTGCTCAGAAACCAGTGAACTGCCCAGAGCAAGTTCTTATCCTCCTCAGTCTTTATGGAAGTGGTCCTTCCCCTTCTTAAAAAGTTAACTTCCCTTCTTTTCTCTACCTTTCCCTACTTTCCACATCTGTGAAGACACTTTATGCGCCTGGTTGAATCTAGGCATTCCCAAGCTCCCTTGCATTCACTACTCCTATCCCGTGGGGGTTGGGGCCGCTGGAAGTGATCCAGGAGCCTTCAGCACTTCCACCTTCACATTTACTCCGTGATCACACGTACTGGTCACCCCCAGCAGATATGGACGTACATGCACAGACATGAGTACTGACCGTGCGACCACAGCGGTTGTTATGTAAGTTCATGAGGGCCCGGGCATCCTTAAGCCTCTTTTCCTTGGCATCCACAAAGGCCTTGGCAAAGCGAACACCATAATGGATGTTGTCACTGCAGCCACCCCAGTCAAAATCCCCACGTTGGTCATGGTGTCGGCCACGGGTGTAGGGGTCACAGCTGCACACACTCAGTTCTCCCTGGCTGCAGGCACGAGTGATAGCATGGACCACCCCTGCAGACGAGATGGCATATACAAATGCTGCCTCCCGGCTACCTGGAGAGAGAAAGGTAGAAGTACATTTCTGCAAAGAGGCCTATGTCTGTCCCTGTCTTCTGCCCACACAACCCCCCACTCTGAAACCTCCTCTCTTCTTGTCTTTCCCAGAGCAACTCCTGCACCTGCTTTTTTCAAGGTGGCCTTCCCTTCCAAAAGCACTCCCCAGAGTATCTGACCTCTTCCCCTCGGCCCTCAGTACTCTCTATCCGCTTCTTTGTACATCTGACCTCTTGGGCTGACCTGTACTCTTGCTTCCTTCCAAACTCCCTGGATCCATCCATTGAAAAGTTTCACAGTGAGTCATCCCCTCCCACCGAGTGCCAATCCTAGCTCAGCTAAGCCTGCCTCAGTCCACATTCCAGGCCTTTTCAGACCTACTCTGCTGGACAGTTCCCCTACAATAGAGACCCCAGCCCAGGGGTTAGCCTGTTTGGGGAGACCTGCTACTTTCCAGGGCCTGCTTCCTTCTTACCCTGCTCTCAGGGATTGATGACTCATCACCCCTGTCCCCCAGACACCTCCTGATTCCCATCTCCTTCCCTTTCTCCTAGTTTATTGTCTCACTTCTGCTTAGCTTTTTTGCTGAGCTGGGGCCAAGCCACCAACTCTCCAAATATTTACATATCACCTTTCTGTTTATCCCTTGCTGCCATTACTGTGATGTTGGGAGTGTTGGGGTGAGGGTAGTGATGGTGGCAGTGAGTACAGAGCAGCCGTTCTAGTCCTCGGCCTTACAGTGCGTGGAAACCCTCACACTGGGGTTGGGGAGGAAAGGGGGAGGGAAGACGAGACATGGAGGTGGCAGGGGACACTGTACCTTTGTGTATCATCCCAGCAACACTGGCATTTAGAGGGGTCCCTGCCTACATATCTCAGGTACTGAGGGTCTGTTCCCAACTGTATCCTGGGCACTGCCCTCAACCGTCTATCTGATTATGAGGCAGTGTGTCCAAGAGGGGAGGAGGATCATGCCTACCCTACCCACTTGCCACCCCAGGCACAGACAGGGAAGTAGTTGGAGCAGGGTGGAAGAGCTCCCTACTTCTGAGCATGACACGGCCAAAGACAGTGTGGTCCCGGTCCAGCGTGGTGCAGTTCCAGCGGTGGTGGCGGAACTGGTGCTGACACTCTCGGATCCATTCTCGGGCACCCTCGCCCACCGAGCGCATGATGTCTGGGTAACGCTGGCACAGCTGCCGCTGCCGGCTCACCAGACCAGGGATATTGTCACAGATCACTCGGGCCCCCAGTGCCCCGATGTACCTGCAAGGTGGAGATGGCCCTGTCAGAGCATCCTGGCCCTTTTCCTGCCTCAGGAGGGGGAGAAGGAGGGGGAGGGGGAGGGGAGAGATTTGGCATTCAGAACTTGAAGAGGTTCCTTCCCCTCCTCCAACCCACATTCCCTGAGGCCAAAGGGTACAGCTTTCCCCACAAGCCTGGAGAAATGGTTACACAGTTGCAGAGAGTAATTGAGTGGTCTCTCACCATCACCCGCTCCCCAGCCAAAGGCCCAAGTGACACACACTCCCAGAACACGGGCCAGGCATGTGTCACATACGTAGAAGCCCTGGGCATGTCACACAAACCCATTCCCGGTTTATTTAATAAACATTAAGAGCCTCAGAGAAAAATAAACTAACAAAACAAGAGTCTGAGACAACACTCTTACACCCACATGTAAGAGGCAAGTCCTTCGTAGCTGGTCCATGAAGACATAGTTTGGGGGAGGAAGGATGGAGACAGGGAGGGACCAGTGGGAAGAGACTCAGTGGGCAATTTTGAGTCATGTTTACAGCTCTAGTCAGACCCATGTAGCTAAAATTCCTCACTCCCAAACCTGAGGTCTTGGGGAGGAAGACCCCACCCCCAAATCTCCTCCCTATACCCTTCATTTCCAGGCTCCACAGCCTTTCTTAACAAATGAGTCTTGGAGGCATGATGTCCTGGATGAACCTGCTTGGGCAGAGGGCTGTTAGCAGTGGGAAGCCAAAGCCAAGATAAAGCGAGGGGGGTGACACTCCCCATATTCCAGTCCCCATTCTGCCCAATTCAAACAATTTTAAGAAGATCAGTTGGGGTGGGCTACTAAAAGTTCGGTGGGTTGCTAGAGTCACTCTCAAATTTCTCAGTATTTTCTCTTCACTCGAACATTCTTAGCTTCTTCTCTCCATGAGGTCACTAAATGAGATCTGACCCATTCATCCACTTCACACTCCCTCGCTGTCTCTCCAACACCTAGCACCTTCCTTGGCCCTCTGGGAGTTCTCTGTTCTCCTATCCTAACACATCAAATGGATACCTCTCTCTCTTTCTCTGAACAGGTGGGGGTCAAAGGGGGCAGTTGCTGCTACGGGCTGAAAAGATTTGGTTTGGGCTGTGAATGAGCCTGTGGTTTGGGAGAGATCCCAAAATGGGCCTAGAAGTGGGTGAGGGGAACAGAAGGCAGCCAGTGGGGAGAGAGGAAAAGCTGGACCGCCCTGGGCTCTATGTCCCCTCACCGTGCCCTGCCCACATCCTTGTGCCTGGCCCTCACCCACAAACTAGATCACCGCTGGTGACACCAAGTCAGACAGACTCAAGGAGGGCTGATGCTTGCCTCTTTTGGAGCTCAGCAGGGCTGATGGGGCCCATCTGTCCCCGGGGGAGGGGTGAGAGGGCTGGCCCACCACTGACAAATCCCATGGAATCAGCGTCCCCAGCAGCACCGTCCATCAGGGCAATAGCTTCCAGGAACAAACAAAATAAACACCCCGGGCTGGGCCAGGCCGGAAAAGGCCGCCTGACGCACAGCCTGGAGTTACACCCACTGCCGCGGTGCTTTGTTTGGAGAATCAAGACCATTGCAGTTGGAGCTCGTCCCTGTCTCACCACCGTTTTGCTTCCCCAGTTCGGCCCAAGTACTACTCTAAGCAATGGGTGTTTGTTTTTTTTACTGGGGCTTGGAAAGAGGGGGGTTGGATGGGAATGGGAGACCAGTAATCCAGCCCTCATGAGACAGTCTGGAGTGAGGCAGGCCAAACTCTGGCAATAAGTCCTTCCTGTGGTATGACTTAAATCCATTCTGCTGCAGCCCACATTGGTCCTTCTTGTTACATCCTCACTGAGCGTGGGAACATTTAGTACCTAAGACAGGAAGATAATTACGTTCCTCTACTACCACCCAGACCCCATTAAGTAGCTGCACTAAGTGCCCCAACTGGTGTGATTCTGAAGAGCAGGGCACTTGCCTGCTGGCTAGTGGTCAGCCCCTTGTAGTTGGTGGGGGAGGCGGGCTCCAATACAACTGAGCTTCAGTCCCCTCTCAATTCAACACACGCCTGCATGTGCCAAGCACTGAGCTCAGCTGTTAGGGCACAGAGATGTTTAAGGCACCTTGCATCTCATTGGCTGGTAAGAGGGGGAGAGATGCCCCTGACTCCAGCTCTGTTTTCCCTTTCAGAAGTTTTCCTTTTCTTCCCAGCCTCCTGCCCCAGAATGCTCCCTTCACCTGCTTTTGACCAATTCACGTCCCTTCCTTTGACAAAGTGACCCATACCTTACTCTAGCCCTTTGCTCCTCAAAGTGTGGTCCCCAGAACAGCCATATGGGCATCATCTAGGGATCTGTTAGAAATGCAGAGCCTTGGGCCCCACCCCAGGCGTACTGAATCAGATTCTGCATTTTCACCAACATCACGAGGTGATTCAGACACCCTGTTCCATGAAGGCAGAGATTTTTGTCTGTTTTGTTCACTTGGTTACCCCCAGAACCTAGAACAGTGTCTGGCACATAGTAGATACTTAATAACTGTTTGTTGAATAAACACCTAACCGCTCTGATTTACCGCCAACTCTCTTTTCCCCCTAGCCAGCCATAAACTTCATTTCAATTACAGCTTTACTCCTGCTGACATTGCCAGCCTATTTGCAGATGTTTTATATTTGTGTCTTTTTAATGAGGCCAGGGATGCTCTTTTCATTTCCCCTCTTGCAGTCCCTAGTGTACACAATTCAGCCCAGCCCACACAGGGCTTTGAACACAGGAATAAAACTATTTACCTTCCCTGAATCTCTTAATACAACATCATTTATATGGTACTTTACAGTTCACGAAACATTTCTCTAAACAAAAATCCTATGAGACAGGTCTCCATTTTACAGATGAAGAGACTGAGGTTCAGGGAGATTAAGTGGTAATACCCACTCTGTCCATCAGGACTAGTCGGAGGAGAGCCAGGGCGAACCAAGGATATCTGACTCCAAAGTCCAAGCTCATTTTCACTCCGAGAACAAGACAGGCATACAATGCTTAACCAGGAATAGAGCAATCTAGCTCCAAAATTGGTGTGAACTTGGGCAAGTTTCATACCACTCCCCTCCCAGCCCTCACTTTCTTCATGTGTGAAATGGAGAAAATAATAGTATCTACCTCACCAGATTACTTTGGGCATTGAAGAAGATGATGCTCATAAAGTACTTAGTTATAGTGTCCAAAGCTTAGTAAAGATTCATTGAATGGCAGTTGGTGGTGGTGACAATAATGCTATTATTATGATATCAACTCTGTTCCTCTCCCTTCGTGAATCCATGCATGATGTCCTGCTCACGGGATTCCCTACATCCAGCCCCCTGCAGAATGCAAAATGGAACAGGGAAGCACATGCGAGGAGCCCCCTATTTCTTGCTCTGTTTGTCACAGATTAAGAAGAGACCATCTGTTTCCTCCTCCAGTTAGAAGTGGGGAGAGGGAAGGAGTGACTGGAGAGTAAGGGAAGGGCTGGGGGGACGATCAGACTGTTAGCTGGTGATAGTGATGACCTTCTGCTCCAGAGTGGAACACGGACACACACAGGGTCAACAGGCATCTCTTCCAGGGTTTGGACAGAGTATCAATCTTGCTGGGTTTTTTCCCTAAAGGAAAGAGAGATACCTTGGGGGCCTGACCTGCCTTTAGAAAGCAGCTTTCCACTGTATCTCAGAAGTGATGACCACTGAGGCAGGCATCTGGGGCCTACAGCTGTGACAGGTGTGAGGCAAGGAGATTGAACTAACCTCTGCACCCACTCCCCATCCTGGATCCACTGCCGCCTTTCACAGCGACTGCCGAGTCCCTCCCTATCACTGTATCACTGGCATGCCCCCTCTCTGGCTCTTCTACCCAGAGTTTTTCCAAAATGTGAACCACGTGGGGGTGAGAGCAGTAGAAGGGAGAAAGGAAAAGAAGAGGGAGTAGCCAAGGGACAAATTGGGGACCAGAAAACACCCTAGTTGGATCTTTAGGAAGCACTACCAGGATGCTGCAATTATCAGAGTGACACTTCCTCACCTAAACACCAAGTGGTCCCCAAAACTACCTCCCAAACTGGTAAGAAGCAATCAAGAGTCCCTAAAAGCAAATTGCTATCTGGGGTGGGTAAAGATGCACTGTGGTCACTTCATCGTCTCTCCATCCGGCCACTGAACACACAAGTCCCCAGCCAAACTGAGTCCCTGATGGCTTTGATCTCCCTCTGAACTTTGAAAGGCTTTTCTCCTCTGTCCCCTCTTCTCTTTCCCTTTCTGAAAGAATGTTTCAAGCCAGATGTAAGATATGGGCCTCCCTTCTCCCCCATCCAGAACAAACCACCCCCCCTTGCCTTCCCCAACACTGCAGAGATTAAAAAGATCCAAAAGAGAGATTTTTCTGAAACAGGAAAATGGGGGGGGGGGG